CCCTGAATCGGTCAAATCTGAATCCGAAGCAAATACTAGCCACTTTGCACAGGCCTAGTGGGCAGCTCATCCAGGGAGCAGAGGGAGTAGGGCTGGCACCCCACCACTGTGCACACTCCTGGGGAGGGCATGGGGGGGCACGTGCCCTCCAGATCTGGGCTCAGGGTGAGTGTGGGCTGCCCACTGTGGCTTCAGGCTCCCTGCCCTCCCCCTGGGGCTTCCACAGCCCAGCAGGTGAGACCTGGTGCAGCAGGGCAGAGCAGGACCTGACAGGGAAGCTCTGAGCTGCTGTAAGCTCCGCACTACTGTGGCAAAATGCCCCCTGCCCACCCAGCAGCAGTGGGGGCAGCAGCATAGAGTTGTGCCCCTCGCTGCTGCCGGGCAGGCAGGGGGCAACTTGCTTCCCTGCCTAGCCCCACTCTGCCCTGCTTCGCTGGACCCCACCCGCTGGGCTATAGAGGGCCCAGGTGAAGGCAGCAATTTGGGAAGCCCCAAGCCTGCAGCAGGCAGCCGACACCCACACACACGCAACAGGCTCCACTCCAGCCATACCGCCTGTTGGGGAAGGGGAGCCGGGCTCCGTGCTCTGCTTCCCACTCAGGCTACAGCAGCTGCTGCCTCTTGAGGGCAACAGCTGGGGCTTGGGCCCTGCTTCAGGGGGCAGGGAGCTGTGGACACAGGTCCCTGGCCCTGTAGCTGTGGCAGCTGGAGACTCCCCCTCCAGTAGGGCTGTGGTTGGGGAGTAAAGAGCACCAGCAGGGCCCAGGGGGCTGTGGGTGGGGAGTGAGGAGCCTGAACCTGCATCCTGGTCAGTGAAGGGGACAGGGAGAACTCTGAGTTTCCATGATAAAGAAAACCCAAAATCAAATACCATAATTTAAAGGTATTTAGAATTTATTATAGTGATTCACTATAGCCTACCAGGCTTCCAAATTACTTTAACATTGCAAATATATCAATAAAAAATTGTGTTCAATTGATATCTATCTATATATTCTAGATATATAGTGGCGTTTCATTTTAATCACGGATTTTGGGTGTTGTATCAGAGAATTTGTAATTTTTAAACAGAGAAAACCAAGATCTCTGCTAATGAGATAAGGAGCAATTGACCTCTAGGGGCATGTATAGATATTTGGGGAAGCTAGATTGAGTTAAAAATGGCCACCCAATCTAAGTTAAGTTGGCAAAGGGGGATGATAGAATCAGGGGGGCAGGTGGGGTCTACGGGTGGAATCAGCGGGGCATAGGTGCTAGTGGCATCAGGGGGGCTCATGAGAGTCTATGGGGGGAGTTTGGAGGGGTGCTCTCCCTTCCACCAGGAACAGGGGCTATCTTTAGCCCCCCAACGTCCCACCCTCAGACAAATAACTCCCCCCCATTCTGCCCATCGCTCCCCCACCCTTCCTTCAGCTCCTGGCATTGGTGAATGCCAGTAAAATTAGAACAGGGAGTGGCTTCCAGGCTTGCGGGGTGGGGGAAACTGGTTGGTCCACGGTGGGGTGAAAGGGACCCCTCATCTAGTGGGGGTAGAAACTGGCGGGGGGGGGGTAGAGAAAGTGCAGCCGCAAACCTATGGCCAGTTGGTGGGCTTTCCCAGCCCCAGGGGCTGCAATAGGAACTGTAACGTTCAGTTAGATCCGTCTTGCTGGACTCAATCCAAGTTAGATAATCTCTAAGGTACACTTAAATTTAGATCTGATCAGCCATTTTTAAAGTGATCTAACTGTCCTGAACTTCTGAATAGTTCACACTTAGATCCATCTAATTAGAGATCTAAGTGTAAGATTCACACATAGGCAAACTAAATTAAATTGGGTGGCCATTTTTAATGCAACCTAACCCCTCCTCTCTGCTGGCCCCCCCATGCAACCTTCCTGAATGTCTGTATGTAATGTACCCTAGATGGTCAGTCAAAATCCTGTTACATTAACAATGAGCAAATATTACCATGAGAAAACCACCTTACCAACATGGCTCATAGGAAGACACAAACTGTGATAAAAACAGCTATGATCCATGTTAACTCTAAAATTAACAAACCTATCACTTTTCAGTATAGAATCACAGAAAATATACTTTGCCTTTAAAAGAGGGATAGAGAAATAGCTTACAGATGCAAGGGCTCAATGACAGTTGTGTCTTCTGCATTGTGCCATTACTCAGCATATATCATATTTTCAATGTAGAAGGAGAGGTGATATTTAGTAACTCAATCCAAAACACTATGAAAAACAGCGAATGATATCAAGATTTGTTCTGTGATTATGTGCATGACCCTGGCAACCATCAGGGATGAAACAAAACAACTTTTCTTTTCAGAGAAAATTTTAATGTGCGTGACACTGCTGGAAAGAATGCTTCAGCTTGCTGAAGGTTGCTAAGGCCATAGATATAATCAAAACCTGGGGAAAAAATGTCAAATGACAAACTATTTTTATGTGAAACAAGTCTAATAGACAGTAAACCAATTATTCCCATGTTCTCTCAAAATACAGAATGGCTTCCCATCATCACAAGCATTTATAGCTTGACTGTGTAAAGCTTTTGAGGCAAATCTTCAATGCAGTGGCTGCATAAACATTACATTGTTCCCAAAGGCAGATCAATACAGATTTAGACATTAACCAAATTATTTTAACTCATTCTCTGAGTGTTGTTTATAGAAACCCCTTAGTACTTTTACAGACATGAAAATTAGGGTTGTCAAATGATTAAAAAAAATTGATCACAATTAGACGTGCAATTAAAAAATTAGTTGCAATTAATCGTGATCTTAACCACAGCTAAAAAACTCAAAATTATGCATGTATTTTATATGGTTGCGGTGGATGTAAGGGTGTATGGAGGGTGGGAATTTGTGCAGGTGTAGGGGGCTGTGGGTGTGTGTGTAGGGTTTGGAGCCGGGGGGGGGCGCCCCACATGCCCTGGCAGAATGTGGGGTACTGTGAGTCAAGAGTAAGGGGCAGCATCAAGGCTGGGGGGAGGGAGAGGCGCTGTGGCTTGGGAGAGAGGGGCAGGGAAGGACACGGGCATAATCACTGCCCCCCATCTTTAATAACCTCCCCCCCCAACACACAGGTGCCCTCGTTTTTAAAATTTGAAATATGGCAACCCTACCAAAACATAGCCCAGCAGCATGTAGAGCAGTGCCCAGCAGGTAAATCTGGAGGAGAAGGCGTGGCGAGGCCAAAATCGAAACACCCCCCCCCGCCCCCCACAATGAGTGGTAGGGGTGAATGGGGCCCCAGGGCCGGGGCATGGGACAGAGAACACATGCGCCCCATGCCTTTCCTGGAGGTGCATATAACAGTGGGGAGCCCTCCCCCGCCCCTGTGCCCTTGGACAAGCCTCCCGTGGCTCTGTGCCACGACCCACCCTGGCCCCAGGGCCCCATTCACCCTACCCCACTACCTCCCTCACTGTGGAGGCATCAATCTGCCCTCCCCACCCCACCCCACCCTTCCCCTACATAGACTTACCTTCTGGGTACTGCTCTACATGCCACTGGGTTGTATTCTTAATCAAAATATAAAGCAGCACAGTTTTTTTTTTAAAGATTGAAAAGACTTACGAGTGCAAATCAAACACACAAAATGGAAGCCACCTCTGGATCTTCTTATGCACATTTATTACAACAGTCCTCAACTGCATGACTGCATGGTCACAGGTGCATGTAGTATGAAAAGAAACTGGAAGAACAGCCCCAATCAAGCATCCAACACTGTAGGATCAAGCTGCCTTCCCACACTGGTCCTTCCCCAGCATGATTATGCCTCTCCTCTCCTCTCTGCATTTCAGTCAGGTTACATCTTTTTTCCCCTTTCTGCCTGGGCATAAGCATGGGGATTATTGAGAGCACAAGAGACTATTTTTGTTCCTATCTTGTGATAAATACCCTTCTTGTGATGCATGGGCAGAAAAAATGCAGAGAAAGTCCTGCCCCAAGGATAAAGCAGGTCTTTCTGAGTCTCAGGGACCAAGGTACACACATAGGAACTGTGAGGGATGAAGGTAGCATGATCAGCACACATTAGAAAAATTAGTTACCAAACTCTAAGCAAGCCAGAGAACTTGTGCAAAATAGCATTTGGAAGGTCATTATTCAAGAACATTTGGGTAGATTTCATAGGGGCAGCAAAAGGCACATCCTTAATACCAGTGGTGTTCTCCCACCAAATTTCATGTCCCTGCTGCACAGCAAAGAAATGTTAGATTTTCAACTTCATAAACCATTTTGCCTGCACTTCTTTTTAAAGAAAGGTTGACTTGGGACACACACCAATTTCACCTTGAAAAAACAAAGTTAGAAAAGGTTATACAAGCATACCGAGGACAAGGTCTTCTAATGGAAAGTACTTGGAAGCCTTAGCTATAGACATAGCTACGAGCTCTACCTATACTATGTCCATCAAAAATCTAAATCAGTTCTCTGTGTAAAGCTATCCATTAACATAACACAGCTGTTTGAACATAAACTTGTCAAAACCATCATAATGTGCTCCGATTAGAAAAATGTACTATAAATATGTAAAATAAGATGTACTTTAATAAGTACACCATTAATAACATCCAGCAATTGCTCTTGAGAAATAATTGAAAATTCAATTTATATTTAAAAAACTATTTCTTCAAGAAATTTGCAAACATCATCAATTTACACTGAAGGGTCAAAGAAATTAATAAACAGAAGCCTGGTAAAACTTAAAATGGCACTATAGTATAGTTGGCTAACAGGTTAAAAAGTTGGTTTAATATTTAGGATCCCTAGTGATTTATGAACTAAGTGATTTGCCATAAAGTTTCTGCAGTGTTACCTTCATTCAGCATATAACTTATTACACTTTAGACACCAATAAACCTCCCTAAAGGTCCATAATCCTTTTGATTTTGAGCACAGCAGTTATTAATGAGAAATGATACGTGCTATAATCCCACATTTAAAGTTTTCCTTCTGACAATGAGCTATAAGAGAGTTGGGAAAGAATCAGAAGGGAGAATTCCATCTCAAAATGTTTTACTTCAGTAAACACACAATATAATCTCAGTCTATGATCTGATTTCACCTTATAAAAAGCCAAAGCAAACAATGTGTACAAAAGGAAAGAAAGCTATTACTCCGTTTGTTTATTCCATTAATAAAGGTAGTGTATCAAGGATGGGAAAATTAGTTTTCAAAGCAGTTTTCCTCCTCCTCTACTCATCATGTGAACGTGGAAGCAGCAAGTCCTTTCCATTATTTGGGCAGTTACTTTTTGGTTTTAACAAATTGTTGTGCTTCTTTCAAAAGAGTGTTAACATCTTCATTATCTTTGTCTTCAGAATCTGGTTCCCAATCAGAATCTTCATCAGTAGGGTCAAAGTCTTCCTCCTCATCAACTATAAAGCTGTCATTCAGGTCATATTTATTTGGTTCACCATCATTGTCACTGTCTTCCTCCAAAACACTTTTTCCTGTACAGGTCAAAATGTAGTGGGAGTAGACTTAGACTTGAAAAACAAAGGACAAAACAGACTAACAAAAATACCCTAATGCTTGCTCTCTGCAGTTAATTGTGCTTAAATTAAATTTCATTTTTCTCCATATACATTACACTGTAACAAAACCATGCATCGAGTTATTTAAATGATTTTGGCACTTAATATTGACCGTAATTCTCATTCGAGGATCTCATAGCACCTACAAATATTAGTCAAGCTTCTCAATAGTTTTATGTATTGCATGTTATTTCTGTTTATCTTACATGCCAGTTGTGGCACATGAAAGTTAACTAAATCATCTGAAAACCTCACAGCAATCACTGGCAAAACCAAAGTTATAATCCAAGAAGGCTATACTTCTTCGGACATTAATTTTGCTTCATGTACCTCTAAAAGAATCACATGCTTACATATACCCTTCAGTCTGGGATGCAAATTATTGTTTTGCTTGTTGTTTCATTGTCTAACATCACACCCAAAAGAAACAACTAAATCATGTCAACATTTACTTTTGTTGCCAATATTAAAGCATTGTGGAACCCCCATAAAATTGACTGGTAAATAGTAATTCTCACAGATTACAGTGCCTATGGTGCTGATGATTCATTATGGAACAAAGAGGCAAAAAATAAAATCCTTAATTTTCAAACCAAAAAGGGAGGGAGGAAAGGAGGGAGGGAGGATACAGTAGTGGTAGATGACAAAAGAAGAAAAAAAATGGGAGAAAGATGACCCTGAAGGGAAGAAAGGGAAGTAAAAGAAAAATGGAGACAAAGAACATAATTGGTTTCCTTCCTTTCCACCCCCTTTCCCGCTGCAAAAAGGATCAAATCTCTTCTCACTGGATGCACTTTTTCAAGAGTCTTAAGTATCAGCAACACCTGTTAACTTAAATCAGGTGCTTCTGAAGAAAAAAAGTGAGCTCCACCTCCAACATTAGGTGTCCTTTAACTGGCACAGTTGGCAAATTCAGCAAAAAACTTTCTGCCCTAAGATCATCTGCAAGTTAAATTACAGGTTAGCAATTATATCCTGGACAAATTCATTCTGATAGCCTTCAATTTTTATTGCTTAGAGATTTTAGACTCCAGGAGAGAATGGCACAGGTGATTCCCACCTGCCCCCAATATGTAAAGTTAACTAAATCTCATGATTTCTAAGGCAGATTTTTAAGGAGGGGGTTCTAACAAGATAGCCTCTTCTAGGATACCACATTTATAAAATGATTCTGAGGGTCCTGTATTGAAGATGTGTTTACACCAAGGAAATGAAAAAAAAAAAAAAAAGCTATAACATATCCCAGTGAAAAAAGTTATTTTTGGAAACTTGATAGTTTCCTCATGGAAGTAGATATAAAAAAAGTATGTAAGAGAATTCCATACAGTTGGTAGCCACACCATCCACGTAGTTTTAAAATGGATATCTAAAAACAACTGACAAGGCAGTGCTAAAAGCAAGCCAGTGATGTTATCAACCCACTGATTTCATTTGCTTATCCACATACATTTGCCCTTAGATAAATGTTACAAGCACTGGCCATTTCCTCTCTGTAGTTACTAAACAATTTGCATTTCCTAGGGTAGCAATTAGGCTTATGATGTTAAGAACTAAACATGCCAAAACGTTAACTAGTCAGTTCCCTTCTATTCTTGCTAGTTCAAATATATTTATATGGAAATGTCAGATGTTGCTCTACATAACACTGCAGCTGTGCCAAGCAGCCAGTAATAAAGGTTAATGAAACCCCATCTGTCTGTAGGATATAGTACTTGTAGCCCAGTAGGATGTTCCAAATGTGAACTTGTGGATTCTAACCTTTTACAAACTTTGACTCTCAGAAACAACCACACAAACCAGAAGAACAGGCAC